CCTGCGTGTGCTCCTCACGCGCGTCAAGGCCAAGCGGTTCGACGACGTCAAGGTTACTCTCCTCCTCCCTCGCTCTCACTCCTTCTCTGTCGTCTTCTTCCGCCTTCCCCGCTCCTCACATACTCCACCCCCGGTCCTCGTGTCGCCCCTGTTCCCTCCTCGCTCGCACCCCCGGGCTTGACAGGCCTACTGCGCGGAGCTCCTCTCCATTCTGCTGGCTGCAGACACGGAGAATCAGAGGCGCCTGGGTCAGCTGGCTGACATCAACGGCATGGATACGCTGCTGCAAGGTAAGAGCCATCCTCTTGCACGACCCCCTTCATATTTGCTGCTGTCTTCGACTTGAGGGAGATCATGAACGAATTGCGTGGCCTTTGGCTCGGGGCAGGGCCCTTTCAACCCACGTCTCCTCCACTTGCGTCTCCCTGACATCACTCCATTTCGTCCAGCGATTGCCTACTACCGTCGGCGGGACGCGTCCTGTCCCGAAGAGAAGGAGTGCATTGAGAACCTCTTCGACGCCCTTTGCTCGTGCCTGCTGCTGCCCGAGAATCAAGCGCGCTTTCGGCAGGTGCGTGGGGGAACAACCTATTTCTAGGTCGAGAGACTGCTGTGCTCTGTCTCAACCCTTTCACGTATTGGGAGACTGCTCTGTCTCAACCCTTGCACTCATTCCCTTTTCACCCCCTCTTTCCACGTTGACGCGCATCACGCTGCATTTCTGCTCGCCAGAGCGAAGGCCTTGACCTGCTGCTTCGCTGTATTAGGGAGAAGAAGGGAGGCTTCTTGGGCGCGCTCAAGGCGCTGGACTCGGCCTGTCTAAACTCGGTGCGTCCTCTTCGCTCTCATCCCTCGCGGGGGCACCAGGGAGGTACAGGGAGTGCCGATTCTTTCTCCGACGCGCGGAACTGCCGTGGCGGCCGTCTGACCAATCCTCTCTGACACCCGTGTTCCTCACTTCCCCAGGTCCCCAACTGCGAAAAGTTGATCGAACTAGGGGGGCTCAAGACGCTCTTTCCCCTCTATATGGGCCGCGGCTGGGGCGTGGCCCTGAAAGGCAAGCGGCCGGGAGAGAGGGAGGCGTTGACCGAGCAGGTTCGTAACCCTTCTTTCTTCTCCTCGTCTGGCCTAGCTGTGTGCTTGTTCTTCTCTTTTCGCTTCGAGGGGACTCTACGCAGTCACGCTGACCCTTGACCTCGTCTCACAGGTGGTCAGCTTGATTGCCTCCCTGAGCTTACATTTGATGGTTTTCGCCGAAGATGGAGGAGGCGAGGGAGGGAAGGAGGGGTTGAGGAAGCACGAGGTGGAGGAGGCGCGCCTGTTGGGCAAATTTGTGGAAGGGGGCGGTGAGAAGGTGGATCGCGCTGTCGAGCTCTTCATCAAGTACCAGGAGAAGGTGAGGGAGGGGAGGAAGGGTTGGGAGGAGGAGGAAGGTTGGGGGGCGGGGAGGAAGGGCGGAAGCATGAGGACGGAACTGAGTATCGCCTCTCCGACCCTCTGTCCGATGGATGATGCGGGGTTACGTGATTGCTTCCTTGAGATATTCACCGAAAGAGATTGGACACACATCTACCCTCATTCCTGGTCTCCTTCTCCATTCTCCTCCTTTTTCCCACCCCGTAGGTGAGACGCGCCCGCCTGCGCCTGAATGACGAAGGAGCGGGCGACTGGGAGGAGGGGCTGGGGGAGCAGGGGGAGACCGCGGAGGAGAAGGGGGAGCGGCGAATGGCGCGGCTGATGGACGCGGGCCTGTTCATGTTGCAGCGTGTGGCTGTGATCCTCGGATTTGTATACAGCCGGTCCTT